GGAATTTGTGCTTCGTTCATTTTCTCATCACCCTCCAGTCTGTGATCAATTCAGGTAGGAGAAACCTACTTGGAGCTGGAAGATGAATCTGGAATGTGCTCGCTTAACATGGAACTATGGAAAGGTATGAAGGGAAGAGGTAGTTTCTGGGTCATGCTACAGTAAGGATGTGTCAAAGGTAGATTAAATTTCCTTCTAGTGAATTCTGCCTTCCGTTTTCCATATTCCTTGACTCCTTAGCTATATATATATATATATATATATTCATCTAAATGATCTCTGTTCCCTTGTAGCTCCAAGTTTCTCTTTTCCAATATAACATGCTATTGATAAATGCTCTGCACTTGTGATAGGGGAAGCCTCTAATGTTAGGTGTCATGAGATTTGTGTGGTAATCCTACTTTATCTTCTAGGGGAGTACTCAGCTATCACCTAATGGCTGCATGAAGAGTTTATTTTGTTCACCACGATGTGTTTATTTGTGGTTTATTTATTTTAGGGATTCCCTAGTGGCTCAGACAGTAAAGAATCTGCCTGTAATTCCGGAGACCTGGTTCAATCCCTGGGTTGGGAAGATCCCCTGGAGAAAGGAATGACTATCTATTCCAGTATTCTGGCCTGGGAAATCCCACGGACAGAGGAGCTGGGTGGGTGACAGTCCCTGGGATCTCAAAGAGTCGGACATGACTGAACAACTAACACTTACTATGTGTTGATTTGAAATATATTCACTTTATCTGTAGCCTCTAATTTTATAATTTACAAAAAATGAAATATAATATTTCCAGGTCTAGGATTATATTGTTCTAGGAACCCTGGTCCTTGTGCTCGAAGCTCAGAAACCATCATCCATTGTCTGTGTTGCAGCATCCTATTCTATAATGGCCAATCTTCAGTCAGACAATGTTTAGTCTATCATTGGTAAACTTCTGAAACTTCACTGCTGTTGTGACCCTTCTAAGCAAAGCTCCAGCTATTCACATCAGTCTTCCCAACAATGGTTAGTACAAATCCTTGAGGAGCCAAGAATTTGTGGAAACTTCTTTTACTTGTTTTGTTCTTACTAGCACCTATGTTTTTTCCAGAGCACTCTTGAGTGAACAAATGTAGATCCACTTGCCATAAAATATTCCCGTTATGTAATGACATCATTGATGCTGAAAGCTGGCAAGTACTTGGGCAGAGATTATAGAGAGTGAGGGGCAATAACAGATCCTAGGAGGTGGAAAATGTCAATTGACTTTATCACCTTTCTGGTTCTCAGTTGCCATGTTCTAGCAGTCTGGAGCCCCCCTTTTTGCCATTCTCCATGAACTCTCCTTAGCCATTCTTGGTTTTGAGAAATTCACCCATCCTGGACCACATTCTCTGATTGACCAGTAGAGCTGATCATCTGGGGAGAATTGTCAGAATACTGCAATGCAAAAGCATCAACCTTAAAACCTATTGGTTTGAGTGGAACTGGGCTCATCCTTTGTGAATTCACATCTATCTCTACTACTTACTTGGAAAATAATTTAATGTAAAATGAATGCAAAGCATTACATAAAAATCATAATGCTGTGAAGCACAGATAAACTGTATCTATTGTGATAAACTTCTGGTTATAACACAAGCTAATTGGTATTAAAAATGTCCAAAATGATTACAGAAAATGTTGATTTGTATGTTTTCCTCACTTTATAAATCCAGGCAAAGATAGACAAATCACTGACAGAATTTTCTAATAAAGACCATTATTCTCAGACAGAGCATATTGGATATTTAGGGCAGTGAAATTATAATACAATACTATAATGGTGGATATGTGTCACTATACATTTATCAAAATCTATAGAATGTACACCAAGAGTGAATCTCAAGGTAAACAATGGGTTTGGATGATAATGATTTATCAGAGTGGATTCATCAGTTGTAGCAAACGTACCACTGCTGTGTGGGATGTTGATAGTGGGGAGATTATTCATGTACAGGGGTAGTGAGTATATGACAATTTTTTGCCTTCAATTTTGCTGTGAACCTAAAACTTCTCTGAAAATGAATTTTGTTAATTAAAAAATAGCATTCCCCCAAATATTTGCATGCTGATATCTTCCACCCACTAGAAATGGTAATCATTCTCATTGGGTTTCATTGAGATGACCACTGTTAAATCCAGGTGAATTAGTCTTTTAGAAAGAAAAATCTTGCTTTTATCCTTTGACTAACTGTTCTGCCTTCAAGTACTCTGGGCATAATTTTTTTTTTTTCAGATGAAGTTGCTTCTTTCTTTTCTTTGAGATTTACTTGACATATAATATTGTATAAGTTTAAAGGGTACAATGTGTTGGTTTGATATACTTATATATTGCAAAATGGTTACCACCAAAGCATCAATAACAGGCGCGGTGTCACATAATTACTTTTTGTTTTTGTTTTAGTGAGGACATTTAAGATCTACAGACTTAGTAACTTACAAGTACATAATATGATACTTTTAACTATAATTGTGCTATAAATTAGATTACAAGATGCCATTTACCTTCTAACTGTAAGTTTGTACCTTTTGATCATCATCTCCCATCAGCCCATGGCAACCACCACTATACTCTGTTTCTGTGAGTTCAGTTTTTCTAGATTCTACACGTGTGATATCATATAGATTTACCTATTTTTATCTTGACATTTCACTTAACATAATGCCCTCATATTCTATCTTTGTTGTTGCAAATGGTAGGATTTCCTTCTTTATCATAGCTCAATAATATCCTATCGTGTTCACATCCTCATACTTCATAAGACAGTTCTGGTTTTCTTATTTTTATTTTTGCCAGTGTGATTTGCTCATATTGTTCTCTGTACATGGAATAGGTTTACTTTTTCCCTCGATGTACCTAATCATAGCCATTCCCAAAGGCATCACATATGCACCTTTTCCCTTCTCATGTGCATTTTACAGTATTTCAGCCCAAGTTTTATCACAGCCTGAGCAAGGGTATAAATGACTTACCTCCAGGACACCATGATCATTGAAGAAGGGTTGGAATTAGAGACCTGTCTTTATTAGCATCCTGGGCACAGAATCATGAAGAGATGACAGTACTAGTGCTGTGGAAATTTCCTGCCTATTTCAGGAAGCCTCAGCTTGCTGAGACTGATGAGGCAACTGGGACTCCCTTCCCAGAAGAAAATCAGCTTTGTGTCTGAATGTCTCCTCTGGTGAGCTCTCCATCACCTTGGGACCTAACCATATCTGCTCCTAGTTATTCGAGATGGAAAATTTATAGGTATCCACCTTAAGGGACTTTTCCCCTGTCTTTCCATTCATCTAAGTTAGATTTTACTGTTTTTAAACCTTTTAGTAAGCAGAAACTCAATAAATCCTATTGACATTGGAGCCTTCTCAGTTTGGGTCCCATTCTCATGCTTTCCTTAGTCTGGTGTTTGGATTCAGAATCTAGTGATTTCTTCCTCATGGACAAAAATGTAAAGATACTCAGAAAAGACTTTGGGATTCAGGAGAAAGTATTTATATATATATATATATATATATATATATATATATATATATACACACACACACACATATATGTATATTCTAAGTTATATGTATCCTTCAACTGGTGGGTCATCTTTGTGTTTACAGTACTGACCCAAATATTTTTAAAAATTCTGTCAGCTGAAAAGTGCTACTGTGGCAAAAAAGTTTGTTTACGTTTTCTGTAAGATATTAAGGAAAAACTCAAATGACTTTTTGGCCAACCAAGTATTTTTTTTCTGTAACCAAAAATTGTTTATAAGTGTAAATTAAAAATTTTGATATGGAAACTGAAAAATGTGAAAAGTAGTTGAACACATGCACAAAATAAATTATATATGTCCTTATAGAAGAAAATTCATGTATATTGCGTGATTGCATGCTAAGTTGCTCCAGCTGTGTCTGACTCTTGGGACTCCATGGACTATAGCCTCCCAGGCTCCTCTGTCTGTAGGATTCTCCAGGCAAGAATACTGGAGTGGGTTACCATGTCCTTCTCCTGGGGGGAGAAGGGGATCTTCCCGACCCAGGGAGTGAGCCCATGTCGTTTGCATTGGCAGGAGGGTTCTTTACCACTAGTGCCACCTGGGAAGCCCCCTCATGTATACTGAGTTTATGTAAAAAGAAGCATTAAACTTTCTCATTCTAACTCCATTCTGTTTTCCTGCAGTAGTCGCCATCATAGTTTTAAGTATGTACATAAGGACAAATGCAAAGCTAACTATATGCATATTTTTTTCCTAAGAAAGAAAGAAAGAAAGATAGCACTAAGTTGTGTCCAACTCTTGTGATCCCATGGACTGTAACCTGCCAGGCTCCTCTGTCCATGGGATTCTCCAGGCAAGAATACTGGAGTGGGTTGCCATTTCCTTCTCCAGGGGATCTTCCTGACCCAGGAATTGAACCCAGGTTTCCTGCATTGCAGGTAGATGCTTTACCGACTGAGCTACACAGAAGAGAAGCTTCTTTTTTTTTCCTATGGAAGAGACAAAATGATAGGCTGAAAAACATCAATGGGGAAAGATCTCTCTGTAGGTTTTCTCTTTCTCTTACTTCACAGCACAAAGTACAAAAAATTTTACAGAAGCCAAAATCCACAAAATGCTAGAAGGGAAGTGCTGTGTTTCTAAAAAGCACAAACATATTTCTTAAGTTTCCATCTCAGGTCAGTTATCACTTAGTTATCATTTAGACGCCTGTGAATATTACCTTACTTTTTAGGCACTCCATTTCCTCTTCCTTAATATTGTGGCTTTGGACTAGAGGATGCCTGCACCTTCCCTTTGCCACTTAGATTTTGTTATGGCTACACATCAAGTAATTACTAGTAACAACGGCTTACTTAATACAAATGCCAATGCCTGAAATAAAAACATATGTGAACAGTGAGTGCATATTTTGGTGCCATTGTGAAACCGGGGTTTGTGTATCTATAGGAAGAGCTGAGAAGTTATTAATATAGCTGGTTCTGGTTGCTGCCTACCCATTTTCATCTCCTTCATTTGGGTCTGTAAAAAGATGTAGGTCTGGGGTACTAGGAAAAACTCTTGTCATGCACCAAATTGTCAGGCCACAGGGTGGGTGAGGAGGTAGATTAGACAGGAAGGCTGGGGAGTGAACTTTGCCTTGACCAACAGAGAGACCAACATCCTAGAACATAACCACCAAAGTGCCTGGTTACGTTGCGTTCTCCTCTCAGGTTGAAGTTGTTTAGCTGGGAAACTACACTGAGAGACTGAGAAGAAAGTAAGGAGGGCAAAGACAAACACCTTGCAGGTAATGAAGAGAATGAGAGAGTGCATGACTATATATGGGGGGAAAAGATGGAAAATGGTCATTTCTTCTTGAGTTTTGTCTTCTGCTTCTGTAGTCCTTTCTTTCTAAAAAAGTATATATTACTTTAATTAATTAATTTATTTGACTTCATGGGGATCTTTAATCTTCATTGTGGCACGCAGAATCTTTAGTTGCAGCATGCGAACTCTTAGTTGCAGCACGTTGTATCTAATTCCTTGACCAGGGATCAAACCCAGGTTTGATCTTAGTAACTTAGTAACTCCCCTGCATTGGGAGCATGGAGAATTAGCCACTGGATAATCAGGAAGTCCTGGCTTCTGTAGTCTTAAATTTGAAAAGTTTGAATGTGTGTCCTTTTCCTATTTGCTCTTGTGGAACACCACACCAAGCCAGAGCTCCTGACTCTGATTCTTTGGGACCATGCAGATGTCAGTGAAGAACCATTCAGTGGAGTGCTGCCTAAATTCCTGACCCTCAAATAATCATGGCCACATTTTCCATTTAGTTTTTTATCTTTTACATAGATTCTATGGTTCTTAAAGTTTTAATCATAATTATCAAGTAATTATTCCATATATATATAGAAATTATGTTATATGAACCAATGAAAGAAAATATTGAATGTAGAAATAAAGCCACACATATAGGGTCAAGTTATTTTTGACAAGAGTACCAAAACTATTCCATATGGAAAGGCTAGAACAATTTCCAGGAAACTTTGTTGAGAAACTGAATTTTGCTGTTCAGTCACTAAGTCGTGTCTGACTCTTTGAGACCCCATGGCCTGCAGCATTCCAAGCTTCCCTGTCCTTCACTATCTCTCACAGTTTGCTCAAATTCATGTCCATTGAGTCGGTGATGCTATCTAACTATCTCATCCTCTGCCACCCTCTTCTCCTTTTGCCTTCGATCTTGTCCAGCATAAGGGTCTTTTCCAGTGAGTCAGCTCTTTGAATAAGGAGGCCAAAGTATTGGAGCTTCAGCTTCATCATCAGTCCTTCCAATGAATTTGCAGGGTTGTTTTCCTTTAGGTTTTTAAAGATAAATGTCAAAGTTAAGAATGGTCTGTTTACACCACTGAAACAGCAGATGCTTCAACCTCAGTGGGGAAGCTCTAGGGTACCAGGAATTACTGCGAAGAAAGAATGCACCTCAAATATTTCAGGGGAATGTGCTAAATAGACAAATCTATAGAGACAGAAAGTAGATGGTTGGACTAGGGGTGCGGTGGAATGAACTTTTAGCAGTGTGATGTGAAGGAGTCTTTGGGGCCTAGAAAAGAGAACAACAGTCTCAAAGGCCCCTTGCTGAATCATTTAACTTTGGAGAAAAAGCATAACTTTAGTTCCATCCTGATGCTCCAGGCCAGTTGCATCTATCAAGGGATTTATCACCCCCTGTCTGGAAACCTTCCACCCCCTACACCCGCCCAGAAGACTTATCACCCCCTGCCCAACTACAAGTGTCATCTCAACAAAAGAATACTCAAAATATCCCACCTGATTGACGTTCCCCTTATCGCTTCCACAAACCTCCCTATAAGTATGAAGCCTCCCTGATCCCCTTCGGAGCTCAGCCTTGTCGTTAGGCCGACTGTCGCCCCTCCTTGCCTGAATAAATGTAACCTACTTCTGTTGAGGTCGTCTTTCCTTTTCTGCCTCGCCAGAACTATGCCTTACATTTTTGGTGCCGAAACCCGGGAGGAGGAGAGACACTCGTCTCACTCTCTCTCACTCTCCCTCCCTCTCATTGTTTTCCCCTTCTCCCCGGAGTCTGGGAGTGCAAACATCCTCCGAGCTCACTTCTCTCTGCCAGGGCTCTTAAGTTCCCCCCGGGGATGCCTAGTGCCTTCGTGAGTGGTGCAAGCCTTGTGCTAAGGCTTTATTGATGATTAGCGTACCCCCAGGCCTCGGCTTTACCCCCTTTTCTCTCTCTCTCTCTGACGACCTCCAGAATAGGGACCTCTTGCCATTCGACCGCTCTACATGCAACACTCCACTCAAGCCGGCCCCTAGATTAAGGTAAGATCCGATCCAGACGGAGTTCTAGAGGCGCCCTAGGGCTCAGTCCTCTCCAGGTCCCAGGGACCCCCGGCTCAGGGCCACTCTGTAGGCGATGGTGGGGGACGCTCCACCTCGACACAGAGCTCTCTTCTCATAACTCCTATTGCGACTACGGGTGACAACTCGAGTTCCCAATAGGAGCCTCTGCTTCCCTTTCAATTATGGGGTCTGGCCAATCTGTCCCAAAAGATTCCCCTCTGGCCTGTGTTCTCAAAAATCTCAAACCACTCTCACTCAATGAACTCAAAGCTAACCGCTTAAAGCAACTCTGTACACAGATTTGGCCTCAATACCAATTAGACAATCAAGACCGCTGTCCTGAAGTCGGCACATTTGACTTTAACATTCTCCAAAATTTCACTGACTTCCTTAAACAGAATGGCAAGTGGTCGGAGATCCCCTATGCCCAAGCCTTTTGGGCCCTTCGGAGCAGGCCCTCCCTATGCCAGGCCTGCTCCACCCACGAGATCCTTCTATGCACCTTGCCTCCCAAGCAAAAGGGCTCTTCTTCCTCAACTAACCACAGACCGCAACCTTCTGCAGACTGCAACCTTCTGCACCCCCAGAGTTCGACCCGTGGACGAGCCCCCTCCCTACCTGCCACCCCACCGCCCCTCTCCTTCCCCTTCATCCAACTCACCTGCTGACACAGAAACCTCTCCTGACTCCCCCTCGGCCAGCTACCCCCCCCCCCCCCCCCCCCCCCGTGCCACACGGTCACGTACCCAGCACGTTTCCCCTGAGACAGGTGGCAGGACCAGAGGGCCCCACCCGAGTCCACGTGCCATTTTCGTTGTCAGGTATGAGCCAGATAGAAGAAAAGTTAGGATCATTTTCTGAAAATCCTACCAGATACAGAAAAGAATTCCTGAGACTCTCCCAGGCCTATAACCTCACATGGAGTGACGTATATTATATCCTAAATGTCACTCTCACCCCAGATGAAAAAGACCATATCTGGCAAGCGGCAAAGCCCATGCTGATCATTTACATAACCAAGACCAGGACAGCGCAGTTGCTGATGAAGCGGTGCCTCAGTTAGATCCCCACTGGACTTACCAGCCCAGTGACCCAGGTATCAGGAGACTCATTCATATGATCACCTGCATTCTGGAAGGAATGCAGAAAAATACTCATATCCATGTCAATTATGATAAAGTCAGGGAAATTACCCAAGGGGCAGACGAAAATCCAGCCTTATTCTTAGCACGTCTCACAGAGGCAGTCCAGAAGTATACCAACCTAGATATCACTACTCCTGCTAGGTTAATGTACCTTCAGGTTCAGTTCATCAGCCAATCTGCCCCTGACATCAGACGCAAGCTTCACCAACTAGAAGAGGGCCCTGAGACCCCCCCAAAGAGACCTTCTAGAAGTAGCCTTCAAGGTGTTCAATAATAGAGAGGAAGAGGCTAAGAGAGAAAAAGAACGTGAGAGAAAAGCTAAATATGCCCTTTTGGAAGCAGCTATTAAAGAAAGAGATCAGCCTGGCCCAAGTCATCCCAGAATGGGGCTTAAGACTCTCCCCGGACCCTGCTTCCGATGCAACCAGTCAAGACACTGGGCAAAGGCATGCCCAAACCCGCGGCCCCCCACAAAAGCATGCCCAACCTGTGGCCAATGGGGACACTGGAAGATGGACTGTTCCCGGGGATGCCCTGGCACCCCTGGGGAGGTCCCCACCTCCCAGACCTGAAAAGTGGAATGTCCACAGGGACACCCTGGGGTATCTGAGGAGATCCCCACTTCTCCCTGGAACCCCAGCCCAACTCTACAAGAGTTGTTCCAATGACGGGGCCTGGGTTCCAGCCCCCTGGCTCGTGTCCTGAACATGAGCTCAGAATTTAGGGTAGACGGGGTAGTGGCCGGAAAAAAGACCTCTTTTATAGTAGACACTGGAGCCACTTTCTCTCTCTTAACTTCCTACTCTGGCCCAACTCAAGACTCAGAAATCACAATCAAGGGGGTCTCTGGAGTTCCCCTAAGACCAAAAACTCTGTCAATTTGGAAAATCAACCCTTATACACTCATTCCTCATAATGCTTCAGTGCCCGATGGCACTTCTAGGGAGAGATTTGTTATCCAAATTGGGGGTCTTTATTACCATATCCCTCCTCGATACAGTCTCTATATTCTGCATGCAGATGGTACCTGGACAGTCCCTATCCCTCACCCCTGACCTTCCCTTGGATCTACCTGCCTTAGACCCCCAAGTCTGGGACACTGATCACCCATCAATAGCCAAACATCATCCCCCAGTCCGCATTATTCTAAAAGACCCCTCGACTATAATCACCCAACAACAGTACTCTCTCATCCCGGAGGCCCACGAAGGACTTAAGCCTATCATAGACCGTCTTCTTCAAGCCTCTATCCTAATTCCTACCCACTCACCACACAACACCCCTATTCTGGCAGTAAGAAAGGGACCAAACTCTTGGAGACTTGTCCAGGACCTGAGAAAAATCAATGAAGTTATTACGCTGACATTCCCAGTAGTCCCTAACCCTTACACCCTTCTGTCTACCATACCCCCGACTGCAACCCACTTCACAGTATTAGAATTCAAAGATGCTTGTTTCACCATCCCCCTCCACCCCCTCTCCCAACCTCTTTTCGTCTTCACCTGGCAAGACCCCGAGACTCACGATTCCCAACAGCTAACATGGACAGTTCTCCCTCAGGGGTTTAGAGACAGTCCCTACTTTTTTGGACAGGCTTTACAAAAGGACCTACAGACACTCAAC